CCTGGCGCCTCGGGCGCGTCCGGCCCCGCCCGCCGGTGAGGCAGCCGCCCCAAGCACACACCGGCGGGGGGCCGCGCCCAAACGCGAGCGGAAGCCACGCCAGGGGGGACGCTCGCCCGGGCTTCCAAGCCCCCCTGCAATGCGAGAAGCCGGAGAGGGGGGACGACGGGGGCACACACACACACACACACAGACCGGGAGGGGTCCGCACGCGCACACGCGGCGGCCCAGCGTACCTCCCCCGGAGCACAGGCATGCTCCGGGACCCCACGCGCACTCTTCGGAGGGGCGGGGGCGCCGCTCAACAGGGGCATCCCCCCCCCCCCCTCCCTCTCGTCACCACCAAAGAAGCCAGCATGCACACTACCAGGGTCAGGGCCCCATGAGGGCGCGCACGCAAGCCAGCCCCCCCCCCCCCCCTCCGAACCAAAGACCCTGCGCACGCTCAGGCTCAACTGCCAACCAGCGTGGGCGAGCAGAAAGCGCCGCGAGACCCGGCGAAACATAGGTAGAGAGCGAGAGGCCGAGAGAAAGAACGCGCGCGCGGCGGGGACAGCGGCCGGGGCACGGCGAAGCACACCGGGGAAGAAACGCACCCCCCACGCCGGGCGCCTGCATTTCATAAACCCTGTCCCCGTGCTGGCCAAGTGGCCCCCGGCTCGGGGAAACCGCCGCGGCAGGCCCCCTCCACGCCTGGCCAGGGTTGCGCGAGACCCGCCCTCCGCCGGGAGGCATTTAGGTGCCAAGAGCCACGCAGCGCCCTGGGGCGCGCTTTCCCACCGAACCCCGGTGAGCGCCCTTCGCCCAAAGGCCTGGCTGGCCCTCGCCCCCCTTCCCCCGGCCCCCCTGGTCCCCGCCCTCCTTGACCGCGGTCAAGGAAGGAAGCTCGCAACGGTAGGGCCGCCTGCCCAAATGAAGTATCCAATATAATATGTCCTTTAATGTGCTACTTTGCCTGACCCATCTTTTCCCCCCCCCCCCCCCCCACCGCCCTGTGGATGGTCGTCACACATGGGCTGGCCAGTTGGACGCCCATTTCGCGGCGATCCCCAAGTGTGTGTCTGCCCTCGAGAAGGGGGCGTGCGCGCGCGCGCCGGAGCGCAGGTCGAAGCGCCTTGAGTGGGCGGAGCCCCGCCAGATTTGGGAGTCAAACCCCCTCGGGAAGGGCGCCCCCCGAAGAGGGCCTTTACGAGGGCAAAGTAGCACCCGACATGTGACCCGAGCACACCCAGACGGACGGCGAACCACGTGGCTATATTTTGATTATCTCACTCTCGCGTCGCGCGTGCATGTCCGTGTGGGCACGCATTTTTGCCGGGGGAAGGGGAGGTCGCCGTGCAGCGTGCGGGAGACGGACGGACGGACGGACGGACGGGGGAGGGGGGCGGCCGGGGCGGACAATCCTCCCCCCGCCCCTCCTCTTGCGCCCGGCCTCCTCTGCCGCGGCCCACGCGCACAACTAGCCGGCATCCTGCGAGTCGCGATCTGGCTGCTGGACCGACTGGTAGACGAACTGGCGCTTGCGGGTGGACACGCCAGCCCCGGCCGCACCGCCAACCAGGCCACTGGCGCCCAGCGAATCGGTTGTCGGGTCGAAGTTCCCCAGCAGAGAGGTCATCTGCTCGAGGGACAGCGACTCGCCAGACGAGGCGCTGGCCACGCTGGGGGTGGTGCCGCCCCGGCCGCCTGCGTCCTCCTCCAGCAGATAGTCAAAGAAGGACTGCGACTGCACGCGCCAGCCGCCGAGGGCGAACGGGGGCCGAGGGGGAGCGGGGGGAGGGATGAGCCCGGCGCAAGGTCGGGGGACTCGAGTAAGTGGGCTGGCGGCAAAGGACCAAGATATCATGCGCAGCAGGAGGGGGGGGGGGGGGGGAGGCACACGCGCAGAAAAGATGCCCGCAGGAGACCGCCCCGCACCCGGGCGTACACGCACCTTGCTGGAGTTGCTCCGGGCCCGGGCATTCAGCAGCCCGGCGGCAGGCGCTGTGGCGACCGGTGCCGCCCGCGGGAGGAGACTCCGCAGTGAGGAGGAGGAGGACGACGGGCTGACCAGCGAGTCGGTTGAGGCTGACGGCGTGGCGGTCGCCGACCCCCGGGCCGATGGTGGCCCAGATGCCGGCACGCGCTGCTGGCTGCCGCCAGTGCCCCCCATCGGGAGGCTGTCCACGCTGCGGGACTATGGGTCGTGCACACGGCACAGGAAGACATGGTGGGCAGAGTACCCCCCCCCCCCTCGCGGGTCAGTGTGGGCCACGGTGCGCGGTTTGGCAATGCCAGGTTTCTACCCCCCGCCCCGCGACATGGTGCACACATTGGGCAGAGGACAGGACGCGTGGATGCGCTGGCTCGCCGGCTGTCCCTCCTTTTCGCTCTTTCTTCCCCCCTGCCTGTCAAGGGGAAGGGGGCGCAGTCAACCCCCCCCCCCCGCGCCCCGCCTGAAAAAAAAAAAGAAGAAAAAGAACAAGGTCGACGCGCACCATGCTCGCGGCAACGGCGGCCCGGAGGTCCAGCGTGCTGGTCGAGGGGGACGGCCCGCCGGCCGGGGTGACAGCCCCGGACGCCAGTGACGACGAGTACGACCGCAGCACCGACCGGCGGATCATCTGCTCGCTGACCTGTGCCCCGCGCGTCTCCTCGTCGCTGTCCGATCGCATGGCCGGCGGGTCGAAGAAGTCCGCACTGACGAAGGTGGCCGGGTCGAAGGGCTGGTCGCTGGCGGCCCGGCGAGCAGCCTTGCGCCCCCGGCGCCCGGTGGCCCGGGATTCGTCGGCCTGCGCCTGGTCACTTGCCGGGGCGTCGTCCGCGTCTTCGGCGGCCTCGCGTCGGCGCCGCTCGCGATCGCGCTTCCGCCGGCGATCTTCACTCAGGTAGAAGGCCAGTCGCCCGCTGAGGTCCCCCCCGCCGGGGCTGCCATCCGACAGATCCCCATCATCGGACAGACCGAAGGGGTCGGCATCCGAGCCCACGTCCAGGTCCGACCCGCCGAAGGCGCCGCCGGCCGCCAGCCAGTCGGCACCCCCGCCGGCCAGGGGGTCGTCCTGGCCCACGGCCGCCGTCCCGGACACGATGGCCTCCAGCCGCTGGAACTGCTCGCGATCCGACGCGCGGACCTGGTCCCGGAAGAGAGCTCGACTGGCGTCGGCCGTGGCGGCCTCCTCGCGGGCCGTGGCCCGTGACACATCGATGAAGGTCAAATCCTCGCGGGTCAGCCGCTCCTCGCCCGGGGCAGCTGCATCATCATCTGACACATCTCCCCGCAGGGCGCTGTCGAACACCAGCTGTCCTTCTTCATCCTCCTCCTGCGTGCGGCGCCGGGGGCAGAAGCAGCTACATGGTCAGCGGCACGGGGTCCAAGTGAAAATGCCTGCCACAGCCCTCGCTCTCCCTCTCTCTCTCTCCCTCCCCCCCTGGTCCGGTGGCCGGAGGGCGGTGCAACGCACATCGGCCTGCTGCTCGAAGAGGCTTTCCCCACCGCGGCCCGGGCCGGCCCGTTCGGCGCCCGGCTGCCGGGTTCCAGCCTCCTGCTGCGCTGGGCGCTGCTCCAATGACCGGACGTAGGCCTCCAGCTCGGCCCGCTCGATCTCGGCATCCTCCGCCCGGATGGCCTGCTCCTGGGCCAGGGCTTGCAGCTCGGCGAGGCGCGCGCGCGCGCGCGCGATGCGCGCTCGCCGGTGCCGCGGCAGCAGCACCTCCCCATCCACCTCGTCATTCTCCGGGCCGGAGTCCGTCGGCGCCCCGACAGGACCCGGCACAAGCTCCGATTCGGTGGTATCCGCCGCGTGCAGCTCGTCCAGCAGTCGACGGACGCTCGGCCGCAGGGCGCCCCTCTCGGCGCCCTCCTCCTCCTCCTCCTCCTCCTCAGTGTCCTGGTCATCGTCGTCGTCATCATCTTCAGTGCCGCTGGAGTCGGTGGTGCCGTCGCTTGGCTCAAAGTCGGGCCCTCCCTCGTCCGAGTCGTCCTTCTGCCCGGGCCGAGCGAGGACATAGTCGGCCGAGGTGGCCATCGTCACGGGGATGGCCCCGGGCCGGGCCTGGTTTGAGATGCGCGAAATCTTCCGCGCCATGGCGGGTGTGCGCTATGGGGGATGGGGAAGGAGGGGCGAGGCTTGTCAGTGAGTGGGCGCCCCTTGCTGCTGGGTACAAAGCACCACATAGCCCTCAACCCCCCCCCCCCACAATAAACAAAGATACATGCAGAAAAGCCGTGCCCTAGAGGGCATGGCAAAGCGCACCTCCTTGGCCGCGGCTTGGCGGATCAGTGTCAGTGGGTCGATGCGCCGGCGAAGAACCGCCTCGGCCTCCTTGTCTACCTTTGGACCGAGACTTTCGCGTCGGGGCAGAATAGCCGGCAGCGGCGGGTCCAGCAGGCCGGCGACCGGGGCAGCCGCCGGCCTCGACCGCGAGGGGGACAGCAGGGCCATATCGGTCACCGTGGCATCCAGGTCCAGAACGAGATCGATATCGTCGCCGAGGAACGTGGCGCCAATTTTGGGGCTGTCAAGCCCGGGAGCCGGGGCCGGGGCCGGGGCCGGGGCCGGGGCCGGGGCCGGGGCCGGGGGAGAGCTGGCCATCGAGGGCAGAACCCGAGCCAGGATGTCCTGCATGTCGATCTGAATGGTCTCCGACTGTGGCATGCGCACAGGCATACCTGGTGCATGGATGTGTGTTTGTGCGTGTTTGGGCGTGTTTGTTAGCACTATGTGGCCGATGGGCGTATCGGGGTGTACGTGTAGGTACGCACTCGCGAGCTCCCGCTCAAGGGCAAAGCGAGCCATGTCCGGGTCGTCGATCGACTAGACAACAGCAGCAGCAGCAACACCACCACCACGACCAAAAGCAGCAGAAACAGCAGCAGCAGCAGCAACAGCAACAACAACAACAACAGAGAGTCCCGAAGGGGTGGGCGGCCATCGGTCAGGGGCAGTTCAGGCTCGGCAGGTAAGGGCAGAGTGTGCAGCCGGGCCATACCTTGGCAAACGAGGTGATCTTCGGCTGGCGAGAGGCCGTACGAGCCGAACGGCTGTCGGCCTCTGGGGGATGCCCGTTCGCCAGGCCCTCCGAGTCCGACAGCGGCGGGCGATCCACCGAGGTGTGTGGGCCCATGGGGACGATCGGATCAAACAGGGTCGGGTCAATGTCATCCAGATCTGACTCTTCGCCGAAGGGGCTGCCAAGAAGGTCGTCCTCAGTGTCGACCCCCGGCGAGCCAGCCATCGGACTCAGCGGGCTTGGCGGGCTCAGCATGCCAGACGGACTTGGCTGTTCGTCGTCCATGTCACCACCAAGGGTGCCAGCCAGTCGCCGATGCTTCCGAGACAGGCCCAGCGGAGAGGGAGGCGACAGGGCCGGTGGTGGCGAAGGTCGCTCGGAGATCCCGTCAGACATGGGAGGTGTGCTTTTCTTCCCCACGTTGTGCGGTGTCTTGACAAGGAAAGGAGACAGGTGCGCTGCTTTCGGTCAGCTAGGCACAGAGGGGAGGGGAGGCTCGAGAGCTTGTCGTTGCTTTGGTGCCCCTGCGGGGGAGTTCCCTGTCTCCATCTCTCTCTCTCTCTCTCTCTCTGTGTGTGTGTGTGTGTGTGTGCATGTGTGCGTGTGTGCATGTGTGCGTGTGTGCGTGTGTGTGCTTGGAGAAGGTACCGTCGGTCTGGGTCCGGCAATGGGATGGCTTGGCCGTGGGGGTGAGTGTATGTGGCTCGAGCAGCGAAAGGGTGAAGCGAGAGCGAGGGAGGTAGGCCAGGACGTGTGTATGTGTGTGTGTGTGTGCTAAGGGGGGGGGGGAGGCTGGGGTGTGTAGCTGTCGGCACTCCCTGGCGAGATCGACGCGGTGGCCCGCAAAAAAAAGCCCCCGCCAGCCGGGGCCATGCCAGGCGCCTGGCAAGATTTAAAAATAACGTCAGACTCCGTTGGCATTTATTCCCATGTTCCTCGATCAGATCGCCAAGATGTGCCCCCCCCCTTTATCCCTTTTTCCCCCGCCTCCATCTCGCGGGGACAGCAGACACACAGGGATTGTGTGTTCCCCCTTCAAGCGCCCCGACTGGCGGCCGGACCGACCGACCCAGAGGTGGAAAGTCGGGTGAATCCCCGACAGACACGTTTCCCCCTCCCGCCCCCCTCCCCCCTCGTCCAGACTCCCCCAAGATGGGGCACTTCGTAGCTGGTAGCAGATCTGTGCTGGCCTTTTTCCAGAGGTCCGACGCGACGAGGGCCAATTAGAGATTCATAGCCATCTCGTCTCGCCCCCCCCCCTTCCCTCTCTCTCCTTACTTGTTCCTTCCCCTGCTTCGGCTCCTGTTGTCCGGCATCCCTCTCCCGCGGCCCACGGCTCACCAGACCCCATAATGCAGCCCGCCCCGCTCCCCACCCCCGAGGACGACACTCCCGACGAGTATGACGCTCGCATTGCCCGGACGGGCTGCTCGGAACTCAATGACCAGGTGCTCATCTGTTACGCCGATCACCGGGACTGGCGCGTGTGCGCTCCCCTGGTGAAGGCCTTCCGCGACTGCTACGAGCGTCACGAGCGTGCTCGCATTGCCGAAGGCGACCCGCTGGCCATTGCCACTGCACAGGAGCCGGGGTCCCTTTTGAGCACCAGTGGGGCATCGAGCTAGGCGCAGGCCGGCGCCCCACGTTCCTGCGATCCCCCCTCCCTGGCCAAATAGACACGCAAACTGTACATTCTCCTGCCGTGTCTCGCACTTTCCTTCCGAACCGCTGAGAGTGATCTCGCTCCTCCTCGCGCTCGCTCCCTCCCTTTCTCGCTCTTGTTCTCTCGCTCCGGACGGCTGGCGCCCACTCCGGGGATGACTCCCATGTGATGTAAACTCATCCGGTGCGTGTTACACATACAATGTGAGTTAACACCATAAACGCCGGGGACGCGAGAGGAACATGCCAGAATTGCCCCGCCGCCCGGCCGTCCGGGGGGAGCTGGTCACCGGCACGCCCGGCTCGTCCCCCCCTAGACGAGAGTCTCGAAGGTGGTTTCTCTGCGTTGCTGGTCGCCGGAGGATGCGGGTCCTGCCGGGGGAGCATACATACGATGGCGCAACGCAAGCACAGCGGGAGCTGCAACACAGGCGCTGGGCGGGGGGCACTTCCCACCGTGGTGGACATTAATTACACCGGGCGGACGGCTTGCACGGGCGGCGCCTGCCCAACGGGGGGGGGCGGGGGAGGGACCTGCCAGCGGAGGCGCCCATGTAGGCTTCGCCGCCGGTGTGTGTCTCCCCTGGTCTGGCCGGGCCGGCAGCGGGGCGCTTCCCCCCCCCCCCTGATGTCACTTCACTTTTCCGGCAGCTGTCCTGGTTCTCGGTGCCGGCTGGCTGGCCGGGGTCTATGCGTGCGTGCGTGCGTGTGCGTGTGCGTGTGCGTGTGCGTGTGGGGGGTCTCCTGCCCAGACCGCCAGGTGTTTGGCCCACCAATGCACCACAGCCCCTCCCAGTGGCCGGGCCGGGCCGGGGAGACGAGCATACGACACCAATCGGTGCCGGGCCGACGGTCAGGCCCCGCTGCGCCGACTAGAGACCAACATGGGGGTTGCTGGCGCTTCTGCCGGGTGCCGGATCTTGCGCTCTTTTGATGGGGGGGATTTCAAAATGCTTGGCGCGTCGATTGCCGTTGTGTGCCCCTTCTGGGGGCGGCTCCGTCGAGAGCCTGGCCGGGCCCGGCGCAGCGCGATGACAGTGCGGCGCTCGGCTCATTGCCCTTGTCCGCGGGCGGGCGGGCGGGCTGGCGGCTGTTGGTGTCCTTCTCGGTCTTTCCCCCCCCCCCCCCCCCCCC